CCTGCCACAACGCCCGGCTCTTTTTTTTTTTTTTGGTTGCAGCCATCATTGTTCTCTGATGGGCCCGGGCTGGATTCAAACTCGCCACCTTAGGTGTATGTGGCTGGCGCCTTAGCCACTTGAGCCACAGGCACCGAGCCCCCACACTTTTCTTAATGTCACCTGAGAGTCCATTAGGGTTTTTCCCCCAGCCTCTTTGCAGAACTGTCTTTTATAGCATGTTATGTCAGGTAGCAATGACAACCAATGTTTACTGAGTACTTTTCAGTTTCAAAGTCCTTTTGCTTTTAATTTTATCCTCATACTGGCCCTGAGTGGTATGATTTATTATAATATTAATTTTATATATGACAAAAACTGAATACTAAAATTAACCAACTTGCCTAAGGTTATGTGGCTGGCAAGTGCTGGATTTAGGACACAGAAACCTCCTTTTCTCTTTTATCCTTGTTTTTGATTACATAGATTCAATGTGCATGTTTATTATAGAAACATAAGAAAATATAGATAATTGAAATAAGAGACTTCATATAGTGATATATATTCTTATAAAAATAAATATAATTTGTATTGATTTGATTTGTTTTTTTAATTTGTAAATTTTTTATGTTAATAGGTGTATATCTATGTCATCATTTTAAATTACAGCTTGGTTTTCCATTGAGGGCAGACCTTAGTTAACTAATTATTCATACATACAGTACTTCTATTTTTTGCTTATATAAACAACCCTTCAGTATAATGCCTTTTATACTTATCTGACTTTCTTCCTTATGGTGGATTTGTAGATGTGGAGTTTCTGGATTAAGAGTTTGCACATTTGAAGACCTCGGTACATGAGGTGCCCTCTGGCCCGGCCTGCTTGGACGAATGTCATTTTCCTTATTCTCTTTGCCAATATCATTCTTTGCCATGTGATTGGAAGGAAATGGAATCTCATTTTTTATTTATTGACATTTTTATTACTAACCAGATTGATCATTTGTATATGAGGTCAGATAACTAAGTCCGTGAACTTGTCCTGGAAGGGCTCATGAGAAGAGTTAAGAGCCTTGGTTAGTTAGGAAGTAATTTATGTCCCGGGTATGGGAACAGTGCAAGGAAGTGAGAGGAGGGAGTAGAGATCTTCCTGGCTGGATCTCGCAAGTGGCCATGCTGTACATTGCACTAACTGTGAAGGAAATTTTTATGCAAACAAACTTATCTGCTTGTAAATTTTAATTTTAATACAGTGGGTAACTATGTAGCAAATAGTAAATAATAGGTAATAAAAATAGTAAAGTAAACATCTGACCTTTTTAAGTGGTGATTCATCCTTAATTCATTTTAACTCACCTTTAAAATGGTGTCGATTCACTAACTTTTGAAAGATGTAGCAGATAATTAGGTTCTTTTAGAGAAGAGCTAATGTAATGAATTGATCTCCAAACAATAAGTGTCTGTAGAAGGGAATTTCATTTCCCTTATGATTTTTTTCTCATGATTTTTGATGATTGTGTTTAAAATGTATGAAAAATATCAAATTAAATGTGCCCTTTACTTTTGGATTATTTTAACTTATAGGATTTTTGTTCTCTATTCACCTGATTGTAAGGAGCGTTTTAAATAAAACATTGGACTTTTGGAAAGATTAAAGTGTTTTCCCTCCTTGTAATAATAAATATTCCTTGCTATTTTAAAGCTCTAGTGTCCATCTCTGTTGGAGTTTGTGTGAGGCCATAAGAGCCTGGGGTTTATAACCCAGATTCTGGAAAGAAACTGTAGCAACATTAGGTTGCTGAGCAAGTCTCTTAGCTAATTAAACAAAGTGCCTTAATTATTCTGACCGCCTGTGTTAATCAGTCATAATGGATTAATCAAACATGATGGTCACTTAAGGTTTGTCAAGACTTACATTAGCAATGAGTGAAAGTATAGACATTCTATTTTTAATTAGAAAATGAAAGATAAAAATATAATTCTGTGGAAAATGCTCAGAATAACCTAATGTTAAATAAAATGGAATATTTAACCAAGTTGTGATATACTGCAGGAAGTATTAGGCAATCCTAGCAATTGAGGGTGTGTATACAATTTAACATGTACTGTATTTGAGTCAGATTGCAAATCACAGCTTTCTCTTTTCTGCACATCAGCAGAAATAGGCACAGCTTATGTTCCTAAGCATTTCTTCCTGTGATTGCTTTTCAAAATAAAACTGAGACAGAAGGAAGCCTGTTTAGCTTATCCAGATTATAATTAATTTTGCCACTTGGGTGGCAAATGGGAGCTAGACCCTTTAATGAGAGTTGTAAAGTATGTAGTCATGGACCAGGTCCCAGACTATTGAAATAATTTATTTTTCTATTTAAAGTTACATCAGTGATTGCTACTTGGGAGGCTGAGGCAGGAGAATAGCTTAAGCCCAAGAGTTTGAGGCTGCTGTGAGCTGTGACACTACGGCACTCTACTGAGGGCTACATAGTGAGACTCTGTCTCAAAAAAATAAAATAAAATAAATAAAGTTACATCAGTAATTAAAAACAAAGGCAAAGGTGGGGGCAGGGACCAAATGAGTTAAGTATATAGCCAAGGAACAATTTCAAGCCTGTAACTGCCTTCTATTATGTATTTCAATTATGCTAATCTTGAAGCTCCTATAAGAATTCATTTTTATTACCTACTAATTTTTATCATCTCTTTGTGTTACTTTTTCCATCTAGTTTCAGAAATCTTCTCTTTGAATAAGAAATCATATTTCTGTAGATATGTATCCAAGAGGTACTTGATTTTAACTTAATTGCACTGATTGTGTTTGAGAGGACATGTCAACTAGAATTTGTGGTTTAGAGCCTTCATAGCTTTATTTTATCAAATCTTCATTTTTCCCTTTGGCCATCAGATGTTTCAATTTTTATTTTAACATTGAATTAGCTATTGTTGATCTCAAACACATTTTATTCCCTACTCCTTGATGCTTTAATGATATGAAAAACTTAAAAATATCTAGAACCATTGCTTGTTAAGAGTCTTATGTAGAATGTTCTGGTGTTAACAGTAAAACACTCTAATTCTGCCCCAAGATCCTGAAGCTGTAGCATCGGGAAGACCCAGAGCATGCTTTTTTTGTATGTAGCTCATTGTTTTGTATGTGCTCATTTTTCTTATTGTTTTATTCAGCTGGAATGCTGACTGATTGCTCTGCAAACTTCTAAGACTGACACCCTGAGGAACCCTACTGGAGAATGCCGTCTGAATGCTGCCTCAGGTACGCCCTGTAGAAGGTGAACCCTGACAAAGGTGCACTGCCCATGCCAGGACCCAGCACAGAGTGGGGAGGTCAACACCCAATCAAAGGAATAAACTAGTCAGAGCTGTTGTGAATTTACCATGGTGGCACAAGGACTAACCTCTGTGACCTAGTTATTGGTCAAACCTATCTATGTTTCGTGATTCTTTTTTTTTTTGGTTCTTTAAATAAAAATCTTTTTATTATTTAGGATGCTCATCTACTTTGAACAAAAGGTATACTATCTTAAAGACATATAATTAGAAAAAAGAATCAGGAAACTACATATATAGAGAGAGAGAAATAATATATATACATATATATGAATATTGTCCCCTTTAACGCCTTTGAGGAGTACAATGCTCATTCTCAGATTTTTAATAGATATTTATTGAGTCAAGCACTCTGGGCGGAGGATCCAGCTATGAATAAAGCACATAAGATTCCTTCTCTCTTAACAGGTAGATTCTATGGGGGAACCAGATATTAACAAATAATCTCACTAGTCACCAGGCAACTATAATTGTGGAAAGTGCCCTGAAGGAAAAGTAGGGACAGGGACAGTAGGAACATGCCTGCCAGAGGAAGTGCTTTGTACACTGAGGTCTGCAGGGGGAAATATCCTCAGGCACAAAGAGGCTGGCATTTTCCAGAAACTGGTGTGCAGCCCATGAGAAGAGGCATGGTATTTGTTTGAATATTCTCACTGGAGGTATTTGAGTCATCCTCCAGGGAACAGTCAAAAGATGTTCAGAGCAAAGAAAAAGTGACGTGATAAACTTAAGGAATATATATATATATTCGAAAGTATTGGGTCTGTCTGTTAAACAATGACACCAGCTTCCTTCCTTCCATGACTCTGAAGCTATTAGAGATGACTAGTTCCAAAAATGTGTTCAGAAGTGGTGACATTGCATAGCAGGTGTGACGCCTCTGCACTCCCCCGTGAGTCTGTTGCTCTCTCCCCATCAGTGGTTTTCAATGGAGGAGGATTTTGCCACCAGCATACATGGTGCAATGTCCAACAACATTGTCTATGTGTATAACTGGCATTTAGTGGGTAGAGGCCAGGAATCCTCATAAATATCTTACAATGCACAAGGCATAACCCCACAGCAAAAATCGATTTCCCCAGAATATCAGTAGCAGTGAGGCTGAGAAACCCTGCTATAGGTCTGGCGTCCTGCCAGTGTAGCACATGGAGACTATGGTGTCTGTTTGCCACCACCTTGGCCAAGTTATTTATTTCTGGTTACTGATACTAGTGTATTTTTAAAGTGTTTTTTTTTTTTTTTTTTTTTTTTTACTTTAAGTTGGCCATCCTTGTTTTTATTAATCAGCTCTCACCTACCATCATCTGTCTTCCACAGCAGAACCATTGTTAGAATGAATGGTCTTTCCTTCTAGGCCTCAACCCAGAGACTTCCTTTCCCACATCTCAGACTTTCCCTCTGTGTCATGTGAAACTACATGTAGCAGTATAATCACATGTTCTCTCTCTCCCCAAAAAAGTGTTCACTGAAATCTGATGTCCTGTGAGGACCACTTCCCTTTTAGCCCCTCAAGTGGTGCCATTGTTATTCCTCACATCTCATGTATTTCAGGGATGGGTAGAGAGATTGCTGTCACCTCTAGACATAGTCTTGCTTCTAGATCATTATTCCTCAAGGTGGTAGTTCGGGAAAGCCACAAGAAGAAAAACGACAAAGACACACTCTTGTGAAGGTGGTGCCTGCCCCGGTCCCCTCACCCTCTCCTCTGCCTACTGTGGTCAGCTCACTTCCCCTCATGCACTAGCACTTTGGCACCTGACTTCCCACCTTCCTCCCCATCACAAGCCCCTTACGACCTCCCAGGGTGTTCAGTGTTGGCAGGGAAGATCTGCCCCCTCAGCCTGTTTGTGTCCACAGCTCTCTCTCTCTCCACCTGCTCCATGCTCCCACCTTGGTCTTTCTCATTCCCAGGAGCTGCTCTGTTTCTGAAATTGCTGCATCACCTGCTTCTCTCTCACCATGGCCCCCAGCCTTCTGGCCTGTTGATGTCTCTCCTCCACTGTGGTTCCACTTTGACCTCACTGCAGCCTCTGTCTTAGCTCTTGGCCCTGCTACTTTCTACCAACATTTCCCTCATTTCCCTTCTTATCCAGTTTAGATCCTATCACTCTTGCTTAGATTCTGTCACTTCTTGAGAAGACCCTGAGGACTAAAAGCCCTGAACCTTTTCAACAGACTAACAGACCCTCTTTTGTCTGAAAACACCAATTAAAGCTCTCAGCTGTGGCGGGATGCAAGAGTGGTCATATGTCATTTACTTTCATTCCCAATGTGTTACTGATCGTTATTAGACTTTATTAGAGACCAGCTTGAGAGAAACAAAAGGCCAGATCACTCCTTACTTCATCTGACCACCAGGGCCCTCCTTCTGCTTTTAGGGTTCTGAAACGTCTCTTCTTTTACACCATAAAGTGGATGACAGCCAGCTGCCAACAAGTTCAGGCCTGTCTCCTGTGGGTGTGTAGTTCATGGACTTGGGCCCTAAATTTCACCTTCTTATATGTGGGACCAAATTACAATGCACTTAAATGTTAAATCTCCACCCTCAAGGAGAACATGGATTGTATGTTTCTGTGTTACTTACAGGTAAACCTCATGCTTATGTGTATGGGTTTCCTCATGAATATTCATGAACTTCTCTTATGTCCCATTGAATACGTCTACCCTAATACCCCATTTAACATTTATTACCTACTTCTTCTTTCTCTCCTTTTCTTCTTCTATAGCTATAAAGGATTTTTGTTTTGTTTTGGTTTTTTCAGATTAATATGAGGGTACAAATGTTTAGGTTACATTATTTTCTAAAGTAAAGTTCAAGTTGTTGTTTAGCCCTTTACCTGGGGGGTGTGCTGAACACCCTCACATTGTGCACTTAAGGTGGGATCCCACCAGTTGCCCTCCCTCTTCTCCCCTCCCCTCTCCTTCCCCTCTCTCTCCCTAGAATACACTTGTGTTTTTCTTCTGTTGTTTATATATTGGTTTCATATTAGTACTGAGTACATTGGATACTTTTATTCTCCACTCTTGTGATACTTTACTAAGAATGTGTTTCAACTCCATGCAGGTAAACACAAAAGATGTAAAATCTCCATCTTTTCTTTTTGCTGAATAGTACTCCACAGTATACATATACCACAGTTTGTTAATCCATTCCTGGGTTGATGGGCACTTGGGTTGCTTCCACAGCCTGGTGATTGTGAATTGAGCTACAATAAACATTCTAGTGTAAATGTCATTGTCTTAAAATGATTTTTTTTCTTCTGGGTAGATGCCTAGTAATGGGATTACGGGATCAAATGGAAGCCTATTTTTAGCTCTTTGAGGATTCTTCATACTTTTTTCTGTAGAGATTTCATTAGTTTGCAATCCTACTAGGAGTGCAAAAGCATTCCTTCCTCTCCACATCCACTCCAGCATCTCCAGTTTGGGGAATTTGTGACGTGGGCTGTCCTCATTGGAGTTAGGTGATATCTTGAGTGGTTTTGATTTGCATTTCTCTGATGATTAGGAATGGTAAGCATTTTTTCATGTGTTTGTTGACCATTCATCTGTCATCAGAAGTTTCTGTTCATGTCTCTTACTCATTTATAAATATGGTTGTTTGCTCTTTCCTTGCTGACTAATTTGAGTTCTCTGTAGATTCTAGTTACCAGTCCTGTGTCAGATTCATAGCATGCAAAAATCTTTTCCAATTCTAAAGGCTGTCTGTTTGCTTTAGTTGTTGTACCCTTAGCTGTACAGAAGCTTTTTAGTTTGATCACATCCCATTTATTTATTTTTGGTGTTGCTGCAGTTGCCAAGGGGTTCTTCTTCATAAATCCTTTTCCCAGGCTAATTCTGTCAAGAATTTTCCCCACATTTTCTTCTAAAACTTTTATTGTTTTATGTCTTAGATTTAAATCTTTTATCCAGTGACAATCAATTTTTCTCAGTGGTGAGAGGTGCAGGTCCAGTTTCAGTCTTCTATGTGTGGCTAACCAGTTCTCCCTGCACCATTTATTAAATAGAGATTCTTTTCCCTGGCGGATGTTTTTGTTTGGTTTATCAAAGATCAGATGGTAATTTGTGGCTAGGTTCATCTCTAGATTCTCTATCTATTCCATAGAGATATATCTCTATTTTTGTGCCAGTACCATGGTGTTTTGATTACAGTAGACTTGCAAAATAGCCCGAAGTCAGCTAACATGATGCCTTCAGATTTATTTTTATTTAATTTGTTTATTTATTTTGAGACAGAGTCTCACTTGTCACCCTGGGTAGAGTGCTGTGGTACGTCATAGCTCACAGCAACTTCAAACTCTTGGGCTTGAGCAATCCTCTGCCTCAGCCTCCCAAGTAGCTGAGACTACAGGTGCCCAACACAATGCCTGGCTATTTTTTCTATTTTTAGTAGAGATGGGGTCTCATTCTTGCTCAGGCTGGTGTCAAACTCAAACTCACTTCCCATTGTCCTTAGGATAAGCTGGCCCTGCACAAGTGAGCTGGCCTCTGCTGGCCAGGCCTCACCTGTGCCCCACTCTCCTTTATCTTCAGGGTTCCAGCATTAGTGTTCCATGAACACTCTGTAAAGGCTGTGTTCTCAAGCAATCCATCCTCCCCCTCCTCCCGGAGTGCTGGGATTACAGGTGTGAGCCACTGCACTGTCCTATTTCTTAAAGTTGTACTAGCTATTCAGAGTTTTTTTCTGGTTCCATATGCCATATGAAATGAAGTACTATTTTTTCAAATTCTTCAAAGTATGACATTGGTGCTTTGATGGGGATTGCACTAACCTGTAGATCACTTTGGGTAGAACAGTCATTTTACAGTGTTGATTCGTGGCTTTTATGGTTTTGGCGTGAGGCTTGCCTCCTGCCTGTAGGACACAATTCCCTTAGAAATAAAACTGTCTTTTCGAATTCACTAACTTTGCGACTCTTTTTTATC